AACCTGTGAAGGATCCCTGTAGCCGTGTCATTGTTATAGTACTGCTGTTAAGAAGGCCACGGTACTGTAACACTATTATTTGTAGTTGTCTCTTCTACTTTTCTCCAACAAGTTTCTGTTTTCGTTAGCCGAAGTTTGGTACGAGTGATCATTGGGGAGAGTTGTTTTTTGAGTATATATAATAAAATTAATTATTATTTAATACAAATATTTATAGTATTTATAATTTTATTGTAATTCGAACATATTCAAACATCTCGATTTTTGTATATACAACTTAATTCTCTAATTGTAGACTGCCCAAACCCGATTCTAAATATAATAACTCTAACAACTAAAATTAACTCGAATGCTACCAATTTTTAACATAAAATCAGCTCTAAATCTAACCTGAAACCACCCTAATACTAACCCTAAACTTAACCTGGAACTAACCCTAATCTAATTATAATCTTGATTTAATGATAATCGTTCGAATAGAATAACTGATTTCGACGATTTTCATATAATTCTGACCCAATTTGGAACTAGCTGTAATTTCATTCACTAATGTTAACTGAAACTTAAAATTCTTTTCGTTATAGTAATTAATACTCATAATCGAATAGTCATGTTGTGTCAGTAGTTTATATCACTAACACTAATGTCAATATTAATACTTATCTAATATATATCATATACTGCTTCATGATTTCTAAAAAATAAAGCGGTTTTGAAAGCTCACTAACACTTATTTACAATGAAACATTGCCAGTTTCGGCATATAAATTCATGAATTATGCTTGCTCACTATAAACTATAACAATTGCAATGAATTATCCGATTCCTATCTTGATATTTACATGTATATATACTTATTGCTATGAACTATATCCTATCATCCTTGCTGCTTACATATACGTGCATTATGCCCGCTTTCACCACAAACGTTGCATACATATTTTCTCTTACTTTCTTCCACATTGTTATTCACAGAATGGTTATTATTTGAATTAACATTTGTTAAAGGGATTCTAATATTAGGATCTTGAGGATTAATTGCTTGATAACTATGCGCTATTCCCTTATGACCTTGCAACTCAGAAGAGCTTTTTAACCTTTTCGTTGATGGCCATCCACAATGTTTTATAACTAACGGATCCATCACTATCATTTCTTCAAGTTCAGATTAAGCACTTTCAGCGTTATTATTATTAGTGAACATCTTCAGATTAATAAAATGATTGATCATATTAATTAATTCATCTTCACATCCGATATCCAAAGCAATGTTTAGAGCTTTCTTCATTTTTCTGAATCCATTGGCATATCTGACTTTTTTATTAGTATCTCAAATTTGTTCGATAATGTGAAGATCTAGAACAATAATATCTGAATTATTTTACTGAAATGTTGTTGAAATCTCAACACTTTGCTGTTGTAAACTTTCTAATTCATTTTCCCAATGCTCATCTTGATACCAACATCATGCAACTAATCCAATATGAAACCTTGCCGTTTTAGTATTCATCATGACTTGAAAGAAATGAAAATATACAAAGCCATGATTTATAATAGCCATGCATGTGCAAAGATAACCACCATCCCGCAATAATACAACGTAATGTTTATAAACTGTCGATAAACCTGTAAGCTCCCAGATTTTAATTATATCATTTGAATCGATATCCTTTATAAGTGAAATTATTGAAATCTGCGGCCTATCAAGTTGATCTTTCAGAAAGCCGCTTTCATAATCTAAATGGTTTTCCTAAAAAAGATAACTAGACAATGTAAAATATATAAACTCAAATAAAACAGACTATTACAACCATACTAAACCTGCAATCCTTGAATATCCTCTTTTGACCGTAGTTGAGCTTGATATAAAAGCGATCCAGTAATTTGCTGTTGCTGTACTGTCAGTATATGCAGCGTCAAGTATGATTTTAATAATTCCAAGACTTTTGGAAATACTGATTCAGCAATTGGTGGTGCCTGATTAGTCAAAAGAGAATTTAAATAGCTATGATGCTGTGCCCACTTTGCTTCATTATCAAGGAGATTTTGGATATGCTTATAAAGATTATGCAAAGAGGTAGTGCTTTTTACACCTTCTTTGATTATATGATTCATCACCTCCACGCATTGAGTGCTTTGTATTTCCGCTGTAAAGCATTTTAGCTAATAGCATCAGGCCTACGAACTTATACATCCTTGCAATGCCCTGTTAATATAATTTTGTGTTATAGGATACTTATCTAATAAACGTGACCACTGTCTATAAAAATCTTCTTCGAAGGTGCTATTTCGTGCATGTAAAAACTCCTGATAAAACTCATCAAATTGTTTGCCAAGTTTATTTTTTAAGTTTTTGCAAACATTCTCTTGAATATGAAATGCATATAAAAATGTCACATTGTGGGTAGTTTTAAACTAATAGCATTACCTAATGCAGGATCTGCATCAGAGAATAAGACAGCCGGTGGTGTATTATTGGTTGCATCTATAAAACATTCAAAAAACCATTCATAAGATTCTGTAGTTTCATCATCAGCTAACGCCTGTGCTACCAACTGTGTCTTTGTATTGTTGTCAATAATGACTAAAAGTGTGAGATATATGCCAAACCAATTTGTATGAGACGTATTATCAGTTTGAACAACATCTATATAATGAATCAGATTTTCTTGTTGTATTGAAGACATCCAAAATAATCCTACCAACCAATTGTTGTATGGATCCATTCGAATATGAACAATCCAGCCGGAATCCTAACTTTTTAATTGTAACAAATGCTCAATAAATTTTTGTGCCTCCCTATGACACTGACTAGGTGGTGTTCTAAATTTCTGAACAGTGTTATAAATGTCATGTTTATGAATCGTATATTCAGGGAACTTTGCAGCAAGAAGAGATAAAATTTGTTTAGTTCCTAGATTCCCTTTTGTGACATAAAATTCTATCAGCTCTAAAATTTATAGTAACAATTTCCTATACTTTGGAGCAAATAACGCAACGTCCGGTTCCATCTTGTGATTATGCTTCTCTACAATCCTCTGAACAACTACAACAGAAGAGGCTTTTGGCATTGACAAATTTATATGCCACTCACATTTCACCTTTACTGACTTCATATCACGCTGCTGAGAAAGATCAATGATCTTGTTACTAACAGCTTATCCAGATCATGAACACTCAAATGTTCGTTGCCTTATCTCGCCATCTTTATTAGTTGTTACTCTTTTTCGTTATAAAGAAAAGCCTATAGCTTTTGCATAATGATTTAGACGTTTTTCAGCATCATCCCATGACAAATACAAAGTGCCTATTTGAATCTGAAGGCTCTGTTGTTCATTTTCTATATCCTGTTCATTTTCTGTATATAGTTCTGTTTGATTTGATTCCAGCTCCACACTTATATTATTAGTCCTGATATTGATTAGAAAACTACTTGATGATTCTAAAGGAATTATATCTAAAGATTCTAAAGGAAAGTTAATAACCAACCAACATTTTAACGAAAGTTCAGAAAGCAATACTACTATAGACTTACCTTCCATAACTTATAATTGTGTTGTTAGAATATTAGTAAAGAAATCACAGTAATAGAAAATAAGCAAAGTTGTGATCTCAGAATGTTCGAAGTTAGTAATGCACATGGTGTGCGTTGGGTAACGAAATTAATTGAAAATAAATACGCATCGCTAGAAACGTGAAAAGAACAAGGCAAAAAAAAAACTGGTAACAAGAAGCACAGTAACGAAAAAATAAGCAAGTAAAAATTATGAGCTCAGAATGTAGAAACGTCCAAGGTTAGTAATGTTAGTAATGTGCACGGTGTGGTCTGGTGAAAAGATTAATAGAAGTACACGTTGCTAAAAACATAAAAAGAACAGAACGAAAAAAAAACTAATAACAAAGAAGCACAGTGATGAAAAAACAAGTAAGTGAAGTTAATTGCAGAATTTAAGAATGTTCAAGGTTGGTAATGTAATAATGTGCACAACGTGAGTCTGGTTGAGTCTAGTAAAAGTTAAATGATACACTATATTTATATTACATGTCACGATCACATGATAGGGTGATGATCACCATAGGTTATGATAATAATATTTCTTATATTAGATAGTAATTTTATAGTCGATATATAGGAATAATTTGATTGGCTATTGAAGGTGTGGTGCAGTCACATGACCTCACATAACTTAAGATGACACAAGGTTATACAAAAGTGTACTTTAGATTACACAAAAGGTACTACAAAAGAGTAACACAATTTCCCCCAAGTTCTTCTACACGGAATTTTCCAGATTCCTCATGAAATCCTAAGTGTTTTGAACACAAGATATCGCATCACAAGCTCTACATCACGTTGCAAAGTCTCCCAGGTTCCCCTCCTCCAGGTTCCTTTTCACAAACAATAAATAAATATAAACAAATCAAGTAATGTTTATATTCCCCAACTTCTCCCAATACAATTCCCCAACTTCTCCCAGTACAATACCTCAACTTCTCTCAACACAATCCTTCAACTTCTCTCACTAATATTACTCATTCTCCAATGTCCTCTTACATGCTGTGTATTTTTGCTTTGGGCAGAAAAGATATATAAAGGGTGCCTTTTCTCCCTTCTTGCCAATTCTTAAGTTCCTACACTTTACTTAGACTCTAATATCCTTTAACTCTTCTTATCTTGTAAAGTGTGATATTTCTCCTCTAGGGTAATTTCTACAAGCAAGGCTTGTCACCATTCTTGTATTAAATAAAGCTATCTTATATACTATTACTATCTCGAACCGTTTGCCTGCTGCTGTGTAGTTAAGTGAACAACTATACCACCACCTCGTATATATTTGCAATAGTCAATCACTGTACCAGATGATCTTGTTACTTGGTTGTATTTTACGAAGAAGGCTACAGCCCTGTAACAGTATATATATATATTTTTTTTTGGTGATCCTGCCTTTATTATTTTAATCAGAAGTATTAAAATTTATATTTATTATAAATATATAATTCTATACTAAATTTCTGTACTAATAAAGACTCACTCAGCGTTAAACACCCAGGTGCGACCTGCCTAAGCAGCTGATTTGCTTCATGTTAGATCCTCAACTTTCTGAGGATTTGTTCTCTCCGATTATAAGCTGGGAGCTGCCGACCTTGTCAGTACCGCCTTTTTTCTTTTTAATATAAGTCCAGGAGGACCAGTCTGGCTTGATACGATATTGAAAAAGATTTTGATTGTTTTCTTGCATTCGCATAAAGATCTGTTTTTCTTTTTCTTCTTTGGCCAATATTCTTTTCTCTTTTTCTAATATTCTGTTTTCTTTATTCTCAGGATTCTGCGCAGATTTTTTCCTCTTCTTGTATCATTTTTTCTTTTTAGCTTTATTTGTAATTCCTTGTTCTTTTTCCCAGTCATTGACCAATTCACATCTAAAGTTCCATATATGTTCCTGAAACCTTTCATCAAATCTTGTCTTTATCGCATCA